TAGAAGAATATTTATAAGAGGAATATTTAGAAGAATATTGAAGAGAGCAACAGAGGTATTATATTAGCAGGTTCGTATGATAGTTCTCTTTAGTTTTATCAAAGTAATTTGAATTTTTGACGATTATGAAATGAGCTGATGGGTTTGTTTTTGTATTACGTGTAGCAAACTTCAGAAACGACCACGGATGGAGTCGCCTCGCCTCAGCTCTCAGGATACTTAAATATCACAGGTATATTTCAACTTTTCTAACTTAAAAAAAAAAAAAAAAAAAATTAAGAGCAATTGATTTTGATTTAAAAATATACATAAAGAAGAAAAGATTTTATGTTTTTCATTTCTATTTTCCTGATTTACAACTACATATCAAGGTTTTTTAATCAAATTTTAACCAAAACTACTTTTAATTTTTAATAATTTTTTTTTTGGGTTGAATCTAAGTGTTAAATTTTAATACGTTGAAAACAAACTGGGCCGAGCATCCAGTCCCTTTGTGGTCCGTCAGTGGTGTGTAAGTTCAACATGCTATCACGTATTATAAAAAATTAACGCTTAGGTTTTAAGGTTTTTTTATAATTTAAGTAAAGTTTTGATTTTGAACAACAACATACAAAATGTTTTTATTTTTAAAGAATCTAAGTGTTAAGTTTAAAGATGTTGAAAACGTACCAGACCTAGCATCCAACTCCCTTTGTGATCCATACTGATTTGTATAGAATGGGAGTTGTTGATGTTTTCCAAGCTACATAGCGCCGCAAGATTTTTTAAGTTTAAAGGATATTTTCTATTATTTCCATGTTTTCCAAGCCCAACGGAAATTCTTTTTTTAAGAGCATCTTTAATAATTAGCAAACGTAATAATTAGAAAAAAGTTATTCCAAATTTACCAAAATTGAAAAATAAAACAGATAAATTTAGAGAATATAACTGATTTAAAAGGTGAAGTAAGGTTAGAAAAAACTGTAGGAATTGTTTATCTTGCTTTCTATAAGCACTACACGAACAAGAAATAAAAATTATAAACATGAAGCTAAATTATAAACAAGATTAGTATTCAAATATAAATTTTTTATCCTGATAGAGCTAAGCTAATCGTTTTTCTCTCTATGGAGTTATAGAGGCTAAACACAAACGGTAGGGTTTCAAGTAAGGAGTTTTATTTTCCACGGACTTTTTTACGTTTGGTTTAAAATCGAAAACTTAAAAATTTTAAAAAGATCGGTTTAAACCAACAAAGCCGGCTTAAAAAGTTTTCGATCTTAAAAGTTTTCGATCTTAAACATAAAAGTCGGCTTTTTGGAGACGAAATATATTTTTCATTAAGGGTAAAAAGGTAATCCGTTTTTGAGAGCGAACTTGAGACTGATGACTACTCTTTTAATATATTAGATAAGTGCTACCACAAACAATTAGCAGAATATATAGTGACTTTGAATGGTCTGCGCTACACAGCCTAACAAATTTAGGGTTTTGACAAAAAAAAAAAAAGATGGAGAAACCAAAAAAGAAGAAGAGAAAAGGCAACCGAAAAAGAAGAAAGCAATTGAAACTTCCGTCGTCCTTTCCTAAAGATCTAAACTCAGAAATACTCTTAAGGCTGCCTTCGAGATCATGTTTTGAGATTCCGTTGCGTATCGAAGCTATGGTCATCAATCACCACCGACTCATATTTCATCCGCTCTTTCGAGACTCGGTTCTTCTCAACACTGCAGCCGAGTCTTCTTGTCTGCGTTATAGCAGATGGGAAGCTTTTTGTTTCCTCAATCCCTCAAGATAATCAGAACTCTTCTTACTCTTGTTCTCAGCCTATTTATCGTTACCATATGAAATTCCCGCAAGGACAATGTTACTTGCCCCCTACGGAATCTGTCCATGGCTTGATCTGTTTTCAAGTATCAGGAGCCCCTGTAGTTTGGAACCCTAGCAAGAAAGAGTTATTAACCTTGCCGAAACCCGAAAAGAGCTGGTGTTATGTAAGAGTTTTTTTAGGATATGATCCGGTCGAAGGTAAACACAAAGTAATGTGCATACCTTATTTAAGAAGTTCTGGAGTGTGTCGTGTGTTAACATTGGGATCAGGTCAAGAATCATGGAGAACAGTCAAAACCAACCATAACCATTATTCGGACTACAATACGTTTGGTCGATGCATCAAGGGTGTTATATATTATGTAGTAGATATTTATCATAAGAATGTTTGGGTTACAATAAGTTTTCATGTTAGATTAGAAAAATTTGGTATGATAGATTTACCATCGGGTATTTATAGGGACATGTTGATAAGCTATGAGGGGAGGTTAGCTTTTGTTGATAACGACGAAACCGGACGGAAGAGAATGAATAGTCAGAAACTCAATGAATGAATAGAATCGCTTACTATGTAATATAAATTGGTTCATTACCAGTTTGGTAAAAAAAAGCATGAATTGTTCAAAGATTCGCATATACCTTATTTTGAAGTTAAAGTGAGCAGCACGACACAAAAGCCATCTAAATTTTAGATGCAACACCCAAACCCTATGATCACTTCGCCACAAATTTGAACCTACATGAAACGACTTGATCATTAATTAGTTACATGTTATTTTTGTGTTAATTTTACACATGTTCTGCATTTGTATCTCATTTTATAGAATGTGATGATTAGATACAATTTTGTCTTACTCAATATTGTATAATACAAAAACAGGAATCTTTTAACAAACTGGATGATGCATATGATCCAAAAAGAAGCTTCTAGAGGACATGATAAAATACCAAATAGTAAAAGCAACCAATACAATATTTTCATTGGAAATATAATGTAAAAGAAAAAGCCGATAAAGAGGAAAAATACCATGTTCAATTTGAACAGTTCCCCGCGCGAGCTCATAACCTAGTAAATGCAACAAATATCCGTAAAAATCTAATGAGAAAACAAACATAATGGGGTGCTTTAAAACGAGATACAAACAAAATAGCACACATATAACAGGATACTCTCTAAGGAGCCACACATTGCAACCAACAATGTAACCCACAATTACAAGAAGGCCACCACTGAACCCCAAAACAGTCAGACCATAATTTTAGCGTCAATAAATACATCCCAACCATCTTTCTTCTTGTCGAATCAACCAATTCCACAACCTTGGATCTATTCCCTTCCGCACGAAACCGAGAAATCAGCAAACCCGGCACGCTCATTTATATCAATCCTCGGCCCTGTCCGTGCCATTCGCCATTGTTTGTATACATTCTCTGCCGGTCTCGATACTTCTATTTGGTATAAAACATGCAAAATAAGTCGACAAAACGACAATATTTTTGTTTGTTATTTTAAGTGTAATGGAGAACTTATTATATAAAACTTAGTTTTGAATAATTTACATTTTTTTCATAAAACAATAAGTAAAATAACTCCTCAAGAATAGGTCAATAAAATAGTTCTAGGATTTTTCAATGAATCAATATTATAACTTACGGTTTACAAATTATATCTTTTAGCTAAATTCTCTTTTAAAATTAACAAGGTTCAAAAATGCTGAAATTAGGAAAGATGACCGTTGTATAATAAATGTAATAATACCGAAACAAAAACAAAATCTCGTATTGATTTGCTTAAACTCATAATAATATAACCGTTGTGATTGTGATATTATCAATTTCCTTTTCTTTTAATTAACCTCTTAATTAATTTTGCTTATAAATATTAAAAATTTACTCTGTTTCTCTCTCAACTCAACGCTTCTTCTTCTCCGTTCTTCCTTTTGATCGAGAAATCAAAATTTTCTGTTTCTCTCAACTCAACGCTTCTCCGTTCTTTCTTCTTCTTCTTCGAAACCCTACAAATCAATCTCCTTAGTTCTCTGTTCTCTCTTGTCGGACAACAAAGCATAACCCTCTTCGCCTTCGATTCTCTGATTCATCGTTGGTGTAAAGCTTATACCTTTATAGCTTTTCTCTGGTTGATTTGTTGTTGTGAGATTCGGTTTGATGATCATAGAATGCTGAGGCTTGAGACATGGTGGTGATGATCGAGGCTTTTGGTTCCTCTTCTTCTGGTTCGTCTTTGGATTCTAACCTCTGTTTTTGGTTCCTCTTCTTCCGGTTCGTCTTTGGGATCTAACCTCTGTGGTGCTCTTGCTTCCTCTTGTCCTTCAAGGTACCGCTCTATCTCTTCTTGTTCCTCTGTGCTGGATATGGTCTTGTTGTTGATGTCTTGTCTCTTACAAGTTGAGAACTTTTATCCAATTTTTAGGAGTTTATTATGTAGCAATCATCATCATTCTTTGGCCTTTTGGAATTACAATTGATTTGATTCGATTTGTGTCTTCATTGAATCTCATAAGCGTATTCCCGACCACATAGAATGACATGTCTGCTACATACAGAACTGAATCTCATAAGAGTATACGATTGATGGAAGCCAATTTTTGATACTATTTAGTTCTTTAATCATGTTGGCCTTTTGGAATTACAATTGATTTGATTTGATTTGTGTCCAGTGTTATACAGTTTGTTTGGAATTACAATCTCATAAGTGTATATGTATATACGATTGATGGAAGCCAATGTTGGACTTATGATTCACGTATTTGGTTAGTATTCCTCTCTTTGGTTTTGTAATGAGTATTCTTATATGATTTTTTGTGTATTCCTGTGTTAGAATTCCTCTTTTGCTTAGTTATATATTACAAATCCATTGGTTTTTCAGACCTTTTGATAGGAGAAGGTATGCTTGTTCTTGGTGAGCTATTAGTTTCTACTTCTCTGCTTTTGTTGTTGTTCTCTTAGTTTTGATTTTAGTTATTAGTATATAAACATTGTCTTTGCAGGTCTTTGATGTTGTTCTCTATAGTTCATGAAGATTTGGATCAAGAGGACTTCCTCACAATTATCAAAAAGGAGAAGGATCATGTACCATTAGCATTACTACATTCATAACCTGAGGTATACTGATCTGATTTGCGAGTTTGGCATCTGTTTTACTTAATAGCTCATGTTGCTTCTCGACCACATATAGAATTATTATTACATGTTTGCAACATACAGAACTGAATCTCGGTTCTCTCTGTCTTCTCGACCACATATAGAATTCTTATATGATTTTTCAGACCTTTTGATAGGAGAAGGTATGCTTGTTCTTGGTGGGCTATTAAGTTCTACTTCTCGGTTGTTGTTGTTCTCTTTGTTTTGATTTTGGTTATTAGTATATATATACATTGTCTTTGCAGGTCATTGATGTTGTTTTCTATAGTTCATGAAGATTTGATCAAGAGGACTTCCTCACAAGTTTCAAAAAAGAAGAAGGATCATGTAGTATCAGTGTTACTACATTCATAACCTAAGGTATACTGATTTGATTTGGGAGTTTCCATTGGCATTGTTTTATTTAATAGCCCATGTTGCTTCTCGACCACATATAGACTTATTATTACCTGTCTGCAACTTAAAGAACTGAATCTCATAGGTGTGTGTAAATGCATATACGATTTTGGATTGATGCAAATGCAAGCCATCTTGTGTACTTTTTAGTTCATCATCAAACATGTTATAGCCTTGTGAGTCACGTATTATATATATTATTCATCTCTTTGTTTTGAACAAAGTATTTGTGGTTCTCTGTCTTACTCTGTATGTCGTCTTATATGGTTTTGTGTATTCAGTGTTAGATAATGAATGTTGTGTACTTGGTTATGTTGTTGTTTCAGGGTGGAGACTCAAGGTTCGATGAATGTCTTTATGATGATCTCCATCGATCCTCTGTTTTCTTCAGTCAAGATCGATGTCACAAGATATTGAATCTAAGGCTATCAAGCCACTGAGACACCTTCGGAGAAAATTTATAGGAGGATTTATATATATTGAAGAGAGGAACAGAGAGGTATTAGGCTATTAGCAGGTTCGTAAAATCGTAATAGTTGTCTTTAGTTTTATCAAAGTAATTCAATTTTTGACGATTATGAAATGAGCTGATGGGTTTGTTTTCTACTTACGTGTAGCAAACTTTAGAAACGACCACGGACTGAGTCGCCTCATCCCTCAGGATACTTAAATATAACAGGTATATTTCAACTTTTCTAACTTAAAAAAAAAATTAAATTAAGAGCAATTGATTTTGATTTAAAAATATACATAAAAAATTAAATTAAGAGCAATTGATTTTGATTTAAAAATATACATAAAGAAGAAAATATTTTATGTTTTTTTTTTCATTTCTATTTTCCTGATTTACAACTAAATATCAAGGTTTTTTTAAATCAATTTCAAGCAAAATAGTTTTAATTATTAATAATCTTTTATTTTTGGGTTAAATCTAAGTGTTAAATTTTAATACGTTGAAAACAAATTGGGCCGAGCATCCAGTCCTTTTGTGGTCCGTCAGTGGTGTATAAGTTCAACATGTTATCACGTATTGTAAAAAAATTAACGCTTAGGTTTTAAGGTCTTTTTATAGTTTAAGTAAAGTTATAATTTTTAAGTACAGTTTTGATTTTTAACAATAACATACAAAATGTTTTTCTTTAAAAAAAATATAAGTGTTAAATTTAAATTGGTTGAAAACAAACAGGACCTTGCATCAAACTCTCTTTGTGGTCCATACTGATTTGTGATATTCAATGGGAGTTGTTGATTTTTTCCAAGCTACATACTTATATAATTATTTATTGGCGCCGCATAATATTTTAAGTTTACACGATATTTCCATGTTTTCCATGTCCAACGTAACGCCTTTTATAAAATCATGTTCAATAATTAGCCAACGTAATAATTAGAAGAAAAAAAGTTATTCCAATGAAAATAAAACAAATAAACTTAGAGAATATAACTGATTCAAAAGGTGATGTAAGGTTAGACAAAGTTGTAGGAATTGTTTATCTTGCTTTCTAAATAAGCACTACACGAACATGAAAGGAAAATTATATGATGATGAATAACATGAAACACAAAGATTAGTATTCAAATATAATTTTTTTAATCATGATAGAAGCTAAGCTAATCGTTTTTCTCTCTATGGAGTTATGGAGGATGAACACAAACTTTAGGATTTCAAGTAAGGAGTTGTATTTTCGACGGACTTTTTTACGTTTGGTGTTTAATTTCCACAAGGTACCAAACCTCCTTTGTTGCTCTTACTCTTTTTATATTTGGTTTCTCTAACTGCTTCTTTGGATCATTTAACCCTTAAAGTTTAGCTTATGATGTTGTATAACCACTGATTTCGAATAAACCTGGGATGTTGCTTCGTCATTTCTCTGCTTAGAAGTTTTGAACAAGTTTAGTGTAAATGTTTTTAATGGTAATCTGAAGATTTTCATCCAAGAAGCTTCTAACGGTCTATCAAATGAAAGCTTGTGTTTGCTAAAATCAAAAGCTATCTTCGTTCTCGTCTCATTGTATTCATCCCAATAAAAGTGTGTAATTCAAATATATATATGCAGCATTCTTAAAAGCATTCCCCATTTGTGTCTAACTATGTGGATGCTTCTGTGTGTCTAGATTTGATCTGTGTTTGTACTCTAATACTTTGCTACTATTTCTCTGTGATTTCAATTAAAAGGTGTATCTGAATTCCAATCTACAGTAAAACCTCAGTAACACAATATCTAAATTCCAACTAGCAAGATCCAAAGCCTCTTAATTCTCCTTCGAAAACCCAAAACTGTTACACAAACAGTCAGATTTGACAACGGTTCAAGATTTAACAAGACATGTAGCGATAAATAAAAAAAGAAGTCAAATCTTTGTCTTCTTAGGTTTCACAGGACATATTACAGGAGAAGCAACATCATCATCACCTTCTTCATCATCAGACAAGATTTGGTCGGGAACATCATCATCATCTGGAACATTAAGCTTTATGATAAAATCTTTAAGTATCTTCATACTTTCAACTTTCATCGAAACCAATTGGTCCAACACAGTATCACCCTTGTTTGATGAATCAATGATGTAGCTCTCTGTCCCAAGCTTGAACTCGACTTTAACTAGATTCTTCTTACCAGGGACTGAAACGTTTCTCTCAATCTCCATATCGAACCTGAATTCAAAAAACTAAAGCAATCAAAATTACGGCGTTGTAGGAGCAGAACCCTAATAATGAATTTTAGTTTAGCTTCGTTACCGGAAAAAGTTTATAATATTATCTATATCATGATCATCAAATAACCGTAACCGTAACCGTATACATAAAGGTTAAAGTTATGGTTAAGGAAAATTTATAACCGTAATCGATGGTTAATAAACCGTAACCGTGGTCATGCGTAGTGTTAAGGAGAAACTTATTATATAAAACTTGGTCTGATAATTAACATTTTTTATGAAATAATTAGTAAAATAACTCCTCCAGAATAGGTCAATAAAATAGTTCTAGGATTTTTCAATGAATTAATAGTATAACTGAAGGTTTATAAATTACAGTTATATATTTTTCAGTAAATTCTCTTTTAAAATTAACAAGTTCAAAATGTTACCGTTGTGATGAAGAAACTTTAACAGAAACAAAATCTCGGTATTAATATAACCGTTGTGATTGTGATCTCATCAGTTTCCTTTTCTTTTAATTAAAAAAACTCTTTCTGTCAATTCAAAGCTTCTTCTTTTTTGTTAAACAACTCAAAGCTTCTCAAACTTTCTTCTTCTCCGTTCTTCCTTTTGATCGAGAAATCAAAATTCTCTGTTTCTCTCACTTCTTCTTCTTTCTCTTCAACAAATCAATATCCTTAGTTCGTTCTCTCTTGTCGAACAACAAAGCATAACCCTCTTCGCCATCGAATCTCTGATTCATCGTTGGTGTAAAGCTTCTACCTTTATAGCTTTTCTCTGGTTGATTTGTTGTTGTGAGATTCGGTTTGATGATCAAGATATGCAAACAGGGCGATCATAGAATGCTGAGGCTTGAGACGTGGTGGCGATCTAACCTCTGCTTTTGGTTCCTCTTCTTCTGGTTCGTCTTTGGGATCTATCTACCTCTGCTTCGTCCTCATGGTGGTGCTCTTGCTTCCTCTTTTCCCTTCACGGTACAGCTCTATCTCTTCTTGTTCCTCTCTGTGCATATGGTCTTGTGTCTTAGGAGTTTATTATGTAGCAATCATCATTCTTTTGCCTTTTGGAATTACAGTTGTTTTGATTCGATTTGTGTCTTCATTGAATCTGGAAGCCAATGTTTGCCTTATGATGATTCACGTATTTGGTTAGTATTCCTCTCTTTGGTTTTGTAATGAGTATTCGTGCTTCTCTCTGTCTCCTTCTTATATGATTTTTTGTGTATTTCTGTGTTAGAATTCCTCTGTTGCTTAACTGTTAGAGTTATATGTATTTGTATGTGAGCGTTACAGTGTTAGCTATGGTTTTCTGACAAATCCATTGATCTGTAGACAAGGAAGTTGCAGACCTTTTGATAGGAGGAGGTTTGTTTGTTTCAGACCTATTAGTTTCTACTTCTCTGTTGTTGTTGTTCTCTTGTTTTTGATTTTAGTTATATTTGTATATATATATTGTCTTTGCAGGTCTTTGATGTTCTTCTCTGTTGTTGTTCTCTTCTTTGCAGGTTTTTCTATAGTTCATAAAGATTTGGATCAAGAGGACTTCCTCACAATTATCAAGAAAGAAGAAGGATCATGTAGTATCAGCATTACTACATTCATAACCTGAGGTATACTGATTTGATTTGCGAGTTTCCATTGACATTGTTTTATTTTATTACTACTGAGCTCATGTTGCTTCTCGACCACATATAGAATAATTACTACCTCTCTGCAACTTAAAGAACTGAATCTCATAGGTGTGTGTAAATGCATATACGATTTTGGATTGATGCAAATGCAAGCCATTTTGTGTACTTTTTAGTTCATCATCAAACATGTTATAGCCTTGTGATTCACGTATCATATTTATCATTCATCTCTTTGTTTTGAACTGAGTCTTATGCTTTTGTTTCAGGGTGGAGAAGGTTCGATGGTGACTCAAGGCTCGATGAATGTCTTTATGATGATCTCCATCGATCCTCTGTTTTCTTCAGTCATTAGAGACTAGGAGAATATTTATAAGCAGGTTCGTGATAGTTGTCTTTAGTTTTATCAAAGTAATTTGATTTTTTGACAATTATGAAATGCGCTGATGGGTTTGTTTTTGTATTACGTTTAGCAAAATTCAGAAACGACCACCGTTTGAGTCGCTGTAGCCTTCAGGATTCTTAAATATCACAGGTAATATCTCAACTTTTCTAACTTTTAAAAAATTAAATAAATTAAGAAAAATTGATTTCGATATAAAAAGATACATAAAGAAAAAAATATTTTATGAATTACATTTCTATATTCCTGTTTTACAACTAAATATCAAGGTTTTTAAATTCAAATTTCAAGTAAAAATAGTTTTAATTTTTAATAATTAAATATGATCTTTTTTTGGTTGAATCTAAGTGTTAAATTTTAATACGTTGAAAACAAATCGGGCCGAGCATCCAGTCCCTTTGTGGTCCGTCAGTGGTGTGTAAGTTCAACATGCTATCACGTATTGTAAAAAATTTAACGCTTAGGTTTAAGGTTTTTTATAATTTAAGTAAAGTTATAACTTTTAAGTAAATTTTTGATTTTGAAAAGTTATAACATACAAAATTTGAAAAGTTTAAATATGTTGAAAACAAACCGGACCTAACATCGAACTCTTTCATACTGATTTGTGTTATTCAATGAGATTTGTTGATGTTTTCCAATCTACATACTTATATAATTATTTATTGGCGACACATGATATTTTAAGTTTACAAGATATTTCCATGTTTTCCAAGCCCGACGTAACGACTTTTATAAGATCATGTTCAATAATTAGCAAACGTAATAATTAGAAAATTATTCCAATGAAAATAAAACAAATAAACTTAGAGAATATAACTGATTCAAAAGGTGAAGTAAGGTTAGACAAAGCTGTAGGAATTGTTTATCTTGCTTCCTAAATAAACACTACACGAACATGAAAGAAAAATTATACGATGATGAATTAACATGAACACAAAGATTAGTATTCAAATATAATTTTTAAATCATGATAGAAGCTAAGCTAATCGTTTTTCTCTCTATGGAGTTATGGAGGCTGAACACAAACGGTATGATTTCAAGTAAGGAGTTGTATTTTCGACGGACTTTTTTACGTTTGGTTCAAAATCGAAAACTTAAAATTCTAGAAAGATCGGTTTTAACCAACAAAGCCGATTTTGGTTTAAAAGTTTTCAATCTTAAACATAAAAGTCGCAATTGAGATTAGGGTTCTCCAGAGACTATATGGTAGATTTGATTGAAAAAACCATTGCTTTTGTAGATATTATGAAAAATTTCTTCAGTTGAGGCATTGGAGCTGAGTTTTCTAGTATTAAGATCTTTATAGAGAACTTGAAAAAACCTTAATGAGACATGAAAATTAGGTGAGTAAGAACCAAGATTGTAGGAATGCATATGATTCTTAATCCAGGTTTTGTATATGATATTTAGGGCTGTTGATACTAGCACAGTATAGGAGCATTGCTCTGTCGAATTCGAATCTGCGAAGTTTCTCTGGTTGAGGTATTAGTTGTTGTTTGAGATGTTGTTATAAGCTGAGGTAGAAGTAATCCAACTCATTCAATATCTGTATAGAGAAGTAGATATGTGTCTTATGAGACATGAAATGGTGATTAAGAAACCAATATTGTTCTGTGAGCTAGAATGAGAAAACTGTTCTGCAACTATTTTCAGTTTAGAACACACAAGGTAATATACTAGATTGTTTTTCTCCGTGTGCGTGGATATAACCGAAAATGAGTTGGCTTACCTGGAGTGTATCCATTTGTTTGTGGAGATTTTGGACCATTTCTTCAGCAATGTCTGTGAGCTAGATTTGGTGTTTAATTTCCACAAGGTACCAAACCTCTTTTGTTGCTCTTACTCTTTTTATATTTAGTTTCTCAAAAACTGCTTCTTTGGATCCTTTAACCCTTAAAGTTTAGCTTATGATGCTGTATAACCACTGATTTCGAATAAACCTGGGATTTTTGCTTCATCATTTCTCTACTTAGGTGCTTTGAACAAGTTTAGTGTAAATGTTTTTAAGGGTAATCTGAAGATTTTTATCCAAGATGCTTCTAACGGTCTATCAAATGAAAGCTTGTGTTTGCTAAAATCAAAAGCTAGCTTCGTTCTCGTCTCATTGTATTCATCCCAATTCTAAGCTGACCATCATGACCCGTTAGATAAATATATATCTGCATTCCCCATTTGTGTCTAACTATGTGGATGCTTCTGTGTGTCTAGATTTGATCTGTTTTTGTACTCTAATACTTGCTATCAATTCTCTGTGATTCATTTAAAAGGTGTATCTGATACTCGATGAATTCATTCTTGCTGGGGAGCTCCAAGAAACAAGCAAAAGGGTATGGATTTTTGTTTCAGGCTTTCCTCTTTCACTAACACATTCCTTTGCTCAACCGCTAAACTTTTTATATGCTGGCAACAAATTTTTACTTGCAGGCGATCATCGAAAGGATGTCAGAACTCGAGAAGATGGAGTAGTAATGGTTAATGCGTGCTAGTCCATCTGTTTTTCTCTTTTTATTTCGTGGCGTGGCTGGAGCTTAGCGATGCTTTGATGAGTTGAAGACAATGTTGGTGTTAAGATTGTGAATGATATAGGAATGATTCTGCTGTTTTCATTCATCCAAAATTTGTTTATCTGTGATTTTCGTTTCAACTAGTGAGGTTTCTATTTATCGCAGACATTGAATTCTGTATAAAATGGTTGTTTCGCAGAACTTCGGTATCACATCACAAATATACGATCTGAGTCTGAGAGGATACTTAACTATAGTAACTGTCAAATTATCAACAAAATAGAAAGACTAATCGTGAGGAATGTGAACAAAATCCAACTTTCTTTGATAAATTGATTTATGAAACAGCTTTAAAGATCATCGGTGAACTATTCATTAGCCCATGTCTCTGGCCTTGGCTATTGCCCAAACCATCTCTGTCTTCCATTGGTCCTAATTCATCAGGTCCTAGAAACTCTTATATTGCAGTGAATTAACACAGGAACAACACGAGAACTTTTCTTACCAACCCCAACTCTTCAACTCTAACAAGTAAGACTTACTGAGCTGGCAAAACACATCTTTACAGAGAGACACTTTGCAAGGTCCTACAATATCTAAGCACACATGAACACATACACTAACGGTAAGTGACTAACCAATACAGATAAACCAGGGGTTCTCCGTCATGTATCTCTTTTCTAACTACCCAACTCTGCAACTCTAGTAAGTTAAACAAACACTATCCGTCATGGCTTATCAGTCATGTATCTTTTCTAACCACCCAACTCTGCAATTCTAGTAAGTTACACTTACTGAGCTAGCAAACGCAACTTAACCAGGAGAGACTTTACTAGTTCCCAAATCAATCGAGCACATAAACACAAACACTAACCAATAAACCAGAACCTATCAGTCATTTATCTAATTCCATTAATACCATGGTTCTGTTAAGTATATCGAGTCAAGCATTATCCTCTGGTTCTCTTAAAGCTCTTCCAGTCTCACTAAAGCTCCCAAGCTCTTCAACAAGATAATGAACTCTCAATGCTTTGCTCTTCACAACACAGTCAACCTCCAAGTAAGAATTTAGAAACCCCATTTCCATAGTTTTACCCAAGTTATCATATTCTTCTTAGACAAACAAAACTGTTGCACAAACAGCAAAATTAACAGAGGTTCAAAGTCTACCACTCAATTGAACACAACACTAAACAATATCTAAACACAAGACTCACAGGAAATATGTATCATCTACGTTTCTTGTCCAATACCCCTAATACCATAATACGAGTCAAGCATTTCCCTTTAGTGTTCTAAGAGTCTCGATGAAGTTCCATGTAGAGCTATTGAATAACTCAACTATATCCGTCAGAGATAAGAAACTGCATCATTCAATGGATTTGCTCTTCTCAAGCAATGCAATCACCTATCTCCAGTAATAAACTCAGTAACACCATTTCTAAATTCCAACTAGCAAGATCCAAAACCTCATAATTCTCTCTAGAAAACCCCAAAACTGTTAACAAAATTTGACAAAGGTTCAAGATCAAATCACCAGCTAACAAGACAGTAGTGATAACTAAAAACGAACTCAAATCTTTGTCTTCTTAGGTTTCACAGGACATATTACAGGAGAAGCAACATCATCACCTTCTTCATCATCAGACAAGATTTGGTCGGGGACATCATCATCATCTGGAACATTATGCTTTGTGATAAAATCTTTAAGTATCTTCATACTTTCAACTTTCATCGAAACCAATTGGTCCAATACAGTATCACCCTTGTTTGATGAATCAATGATGTAGCTCTCTGTCCCAAGCTTGAACTCGACTTTAACTAGATTCTTCTTACCAGGGACTGAAACGTTTCTCTCAATCTCCATATCGACCCTGAAATCAAAAAACTAAAGGAATCAAAATTACGGCGTAGTAGGAGCAGAACCCTAATAACGAATTTTAATTTAGCTTCGTTACTGGAAAAAGTTAATTTTGGTGGAAGAAGAAGCAAAAGGACGATGAAGCCGACAATTAATTATGAGCGATTACGAGTTTTGCTTTGTTTTTCTTGTCCATAAATTCTCGATGATTTTGGTAAAATAAGTTTTTTAATAATTAAAATTTTATTATTTTTTACAAAAACTTGAATATTTATATAAATTAAAAATTACAAATATCAAATAATAAATCGAATTAAATAATTAGATTAAATAAAAACTTACAAATATCAGTAAATCCGGTATGCTAATAACTCTGTGCCATTCGCCAATCTTTGTATAATTTATATGTCGGTCTTGATACTTTAATTCGGTATAAAATATGAAAAATAAGTTTACAAAGCCACAATATTATCGTTCCATTACTTTAAGTTTAATGTAGGCATGACCAAAATCTAATATTAACCGTAATTTACCCGTAACTGAACTATTTTTAAACCGTAACCGTATAAAACAGTTAAAATTTGTAACCGTTAACCGTAAAAATAAATTAGTCATGGTTATAAAAAGTAACCGTTATCAACCATAACCATATGGTTAACCTTTAATAAAAATTATTTCATTAAAATAATGTTTTAAATGGTTTAATGTGTCAACTAGTAATTCTAATTCACTCTACTGCTCATTTTCATTATTCAAATCAAAAATAATTTATTTTAAATAATTTTAGGTTCATAACCATTAATTTATTTAATTGTAGTTGTTTTTAATTAATTAAAAATAATTTTTAACTAATTTACTATAAATATTTGAATCATATAAATACCTTTATTTCATATTGAAAATAAACATTATTTGATATGGTAAGAAAATATAAAACTTTGTTTATATATACTAGGTAATTTCCCGCGCATATGCGCGGGTTGTTGTATATTTATTTAATTATTTTAATTTATTTATTACTTATAAAAATAGATTAAATAAATTTTAATGTTTATGACATTTTTACATTTTATTTATTTAAATCATACAATAGAAGCATACATCCATATCTTTTGAATTTATTCGTTGATTAATTGTTCAATTTTGATAGTAATTTTTTTTGTGCTTTTAAGTATTTTTTGATAAAACAATAATATTGTTAATGATAAAAATAGGAATGATTTTGGGAGAATTTAGAAAATACCCTTTTAAAAATACCACTTTTTAAATTTACCCCCTTTTCAAACTTTATCAAAACAACCACTAAAAATGTTAAAATTTATCCATATATGTGTGTAAACTTATAAATATACACACAAATTACCTTTATTTGTGTATAAAATTTTTCTTTATTTCAATGTCTTACAAATTGGTTTGAATATAACCAAAAATTATTTTGTTAAAATAATTACATACTTTGAAAATAAAATAAATATACATGAATTTGTGAGAAAGAAAAAAACATATAAAGTAAAACAATGAAGATGGTTTATTTAGCTTGATTTTCTTATGGTGCGATGGTCAGAAATCAATAGTTTTGAATCCCATCGATAAAGTAATTTCCTTATAGCCATAAAATATTATTATACATATGTATTATATATTTAATAGTATAAAACAATGAAAAAATGAAGAAGTACATAAAATAAAGAAGAAATATAATTGAAAACAAAAGTTTTAACCAAATATATAATCAAGCTCTTACAATGATATCTTAATTGAGCTTTCAACCCATGCAAGAACATTATAAATTAAATAAAGAAATATTGAGAATATCAGATATGGTGGACGAGGATGTAACAATGAATATTTATAGGATAAAATATGATGTAAGTTATAATTCTAAAATAATTAAATTAGAGGAGTTATAATTATATTTTATAGTGTGTTAACTGAAATTGAATGGAGGAAACAAATAGTCAATTGAAAGATTATATAATTTAAGTTACAATTTAATAGTAAAGCGTGGATTTCAAGTATGAATTAAAGTATATGACTAAATGTGTTAGATATTTGGTTTAATTAAAAATA